GAGACTGAGAAAGTCCTTGGTCAGAGTAAACATCACTTGATAACAACTAAAACCATGGGTGTTATCAGCGTTGTTCCCAGGCTGAAAATCAAAACCACGGCACTGCACCAGCTACTAAGAAGGGAAGGAGAAAACTGCTGCAGCTGAACCCAGGACAGTAGGATAATGTTGCAAACAATATAGGGAATAAAATTGTTTATATTCAGCAACTTCACTTACAGGATTAGTTAATAGCCTTAGGTATGCACTAATGAATTACCTGTTTGATTAGCAGTTGAGAACCTGAGGGTATGCTGTACCTGAAAATACATTCAAATGTGCACCTATAGGTTATAATACCAAAATAACCACACTCTCCTAGCTCCTTTTCTCACTATTGCCACCTTTGCATAGAAATCATTCTGCTTGACTCACCAAGTGCATTTGTGATGTACAATGCTACCCAAATAAAATGAGTATTTTTTTATTGTGCTACATCTCCATCTAGGAGAGAATTTAAATGCAAATATTGCACAGATATTTTCATTGTAAGTTAATATTTTTCAGATTTGGAACTTCATTTCTTTTTGTTAAGAGATAATTATGGAATACCATTTCAATAAACCAGTGGAAACTGGTTTGCTCCTTGAAAGGCTGTCTGATTAATGGAACAGAAAGGATCAAAAAGTCATTGTGAGATGCTGGATGGATGTTTTGGAGACTTCAGTGACAATCAGTTGTTTCAGCAAACAATGATGTAGATGTAGTCTTACAAGTAATGTCTTAAATGAGTGCACTGTAAAGATTGCAGAAAATATGTTCTTACCTAGCATTTTTAAAAGTAAGCAATAATGAGTTTCTGTCATGTGTGATAAAAATGCCTACTGCTGCTGTGAATGATGGGAGAAAAAAAGACAAAACTTCTGCTCAGTTTAGGGCCCTGTCGTAAAGCAAAACTTTACTGACACATTGCCTTTATTATACTTAAGGTCTCATCTATTAGTGTTGGTTGAATTGCACACTATTTCTTTTAATCAGTTGCAGACTTAGTAAATCATTTCCTCACTTAAGAAAGCAAGTGATAAAACTTTAAATAGAGGTTTGAAAAGAATTTTTTTTTAATTTTTTTTAGGATATGAAAATTTTGGAAGTTTAGAGTTTTGTTGCCTTCCACACCCACTGAGAATAATTAAAAGAGAAACAAACAAAATATAGAGATTCTTTGCAGAGGGAATGCTGTCCCTGGGAGAAGTACATCTGACTTTGTCATGTGGCTGCAGATAGGAAGCCTTTGGCAGATGGGCTGCAATATGTCCATAAATGCCAGAAATACATCCTGGAGCAATAGTTTTAAGAACAGAGGCTGCAAAGGAGCCAGCCCAGTGTAGGCAATGAGATGAACTTTCATTAGAAGCGTGTCTAGTGGCCATGTGTCGAAAGCTGGCTGACAAATGGAGCCCCTGTGAAATCCAGCTTACATTTCAGAGGAACCTTGTGAAAATTCAGACTGGAGAACAATTTGACATACTTAATTGGTAAATACTGCTGGGAGGGTGGGGGGGGAGAGATTATACAACAACCTGTGCTTGAAACTTTAAGTGGCAACTCCTTTTTCTCATTCGTCTCTTGCTTTTTTGAACTACTGCCATTGTTCTGCTGCTGGCACCTACACTAGAGCTGCATTAAAATTGCGACATGATATTGGCCTATCAAACTCTAAAACTGTATTAGATCTATTGAAATGGATTGTAGGGTTAAGGCAATCTCAGCTGGAAACAAAATCTGTATTCCTCCATTCCTCTGTTGTTATTATTGGGCTGGTTTATTTTATGAATAAAAAATTACTTTGAGCTTATAATACTTCTGCTAAACAAGCTTTGGCATTTTATTTACTCACAAGTGAGAAAAGAAAAGGAAAAGAGTTTTGGCCTTAAATATACTACGCTTCTCACTGAAAGTGCCTTATATGGATGAGTAACTTTTTAGGCTTCCTGGTATACCAGGGGTGTTTAAAATATGTAAATTAAATTGTGTTGTGGTAAAATTAAATTTGTCGTCCTGTGTTCAGTGGCACCTAAATAATTTGTCCAATAATTTCAGTAAGCCGTGAAGTAGATGCACAAAATATGAAAAGGATGGGTTGGATTTTGTCGTGTCATGCATTAACTCGGAACAATAAGATATTTTGTGTCTTTCCAGTGGATGGAGGCTGGTCTTGTTGGTCATCTTGGTCAAAGTGCTCAGCAACTTGTGGAGGAGGGCATTACATGAGAACCCGCTCCTGCACAAACCCAGCACCAGCATATGGAGGAGACATCTGCCTTGGACTGCACACTGAAGAAGCACTCTGCAACACACAGCCGTGCCCAGGTATGGAGAATCAGCCCATTCAGCTTTGTTGGTTACCTGCCACAGAATAAAGCATTCACATTTAGGCAACATAGTGCTCCTTGATCTGCTATTTAGAAGCAAGTAATTTCTCTCCCTTATTAAGTGCACAATCAGCTCTTACATGCTACAATCATACTAAATCAAGTAGTAGCAGAATATAGCCTACAGGACACCACTTACTCGCTTCCACTTTAAAAATTAAAATTTAAGTTACCAGGTTCCAGGTCTGAATAAACTAAAATTGCATAATATTTGAAGTGAACATCCTGGGAGACTTTTAATAAAAATATCACAAAGAAGTGCATCTGTTATAACACTAAACATTCACAGCTGAGGTTAATATTCAACGTGTGTTATCAAAAGTCCTTCACGTAGATGTTTGCCTTGTTTTCATATAAAGCACAAAGCAAACCTTAATGCTCTTTGCAAAATACCTTCTTCAACTTTGGATGTTAAGGAGCAGAGAATTCATCTTTTTAAATATCTGTGGAGTACTTAGTAAATGAAATGTCTCAGCACTCAGAAAAAGTAATGATCATACCATATCATACAATATTTGTATTGTTGTATGATACAACAATATCATACAAGTAGTTGTATGATATTATGGATCATGACTTTTTCTTTGTAACCTTGACTCTGCCTTTTGACCCATATTAAAGGAAACTCTGGTTTTTTTCATGAAATTTGAGTGAGAAATAGAGAGTAAAACCACATAATACCAGATAAAATCATTAGTGAAAAGCCAGTGGAAAAATTTGTTTTCATTTCTTCCTGATGAATGGATTATATGCAACAGAAAATTAAATAAGCAGGTCTGATGCCACATTATATTACTTGCTTCACTCAGAGCTCCTACTCTTCATAGCAAAAGTTTTCTGTTTATATGATGAGGCTGTGCACATGAAGGCACAAGCCCCATGAGTTTGAATTTATGGATCCTATTACCTGTGCTGAACTACAATTTAAGTTAATTTCCTTTTCTAGGCACTGCATGTCTTGAAGCAGAATAAAAGTACCTACTTTGTCAAAATTAAAGCAGGTGCAGCATTGTATCATGTTAAAAAAAAAAAAAAAGAACAAACCAAACACAGAAATCAGTTGATGATTTGATTTTTCAAGACAAATAGTGTACATTTGTATGTACATTTGTATGTAGAAGTTACATGGCTGTCTTTGGATCCTTAAGGCATCTTTAAAAGGTCAGAACTGCCACATTCATTGTGCTGGTATTGTAGCTATATCTCTCGTTGCACATTTATTTTCTACCACCTTTTTTCTAGAAATGGCAGTTTGCAAACATTTATAAATAATCTCTTCATCTATTTTGACCTGCTTCTTACACAAATTTTGCAGAAAATGGGGATGCAGGAGGAATTTGGTTTCATTTTGTTTCAAGAAAGAGAAAACCTTTGTAAATCAATGAAGTTTCAGAGGGTGAAGTGGATTTCTTACATTCTGTGATGTTTTATTAATATTTCAAACGCACTGAAAATTTGCTGTTGGTTTTTGAAACAGCACATCATCAGCTAACTGTGAGAATGGTCTTTGCCTCATCTTTACAGTGTAAATTTAATTTTTTTTTTTACTGCTCTTATTTCACATTGGTATGAGACAAAAATAAGTGCAGTGCTACACGTGTCAAGTTTGGGCAGGCTCCTGCATCCCTGCAGAGACATTTTCTCAACAGTGGGTTCACGTGGAGACAGGTTCTACCTTGTGCAGATCAGAAAGTACCATTGGTGACATTCACTCCTTGAGTGACATGTTTAATATAGGAAGGGAATAGTAATGACACTTGGAATCTAAAAACAACCAACCAACACAGAAATGCATATGCAAAAATTGAAATGCTTCTTAAGTTGTGAAAAGAGCAAAGATTTCTTGGCATTTGCAATAGTACACTTTTTTTTTTTTTTTTTTTTTTTTTTACCAAATACAACTAGCAGAAAACTGAAATTTCTGGAATCCTGATACTAAGGAATTTTTGAGGATTGATGGAGGGTTAATGGCAAATCCAACTGAAAATATGCAAGTATGCACTTAAAAGAAAGTAACAGACTTGTGTCTGCAAAATACATCATTTTCCTCATCTTTCATTTTGAAAGCTGTATCACTAAGTTTTGTTTGGATTTTTTTTCTTTTAATTTGCAATTTCATTAATATGAATAGAAGCACAGTACTATTGATCAGTAGTGGTTTATACTTGCTTATCAGTAATTGGTTGCAATGGTGTCTGTCATGTACTGAATAGGAGTGTTTTATACCTAGACAATTTACTGCTGCTGTAAGAGGGGAAGATATCTTCTGTCCTCAAATTGCTAACTCACACATGCAAATAATGGGTAAAGCAGTTGAGCCTTTAGAGATGATGCTGTAGTTCTGCATAAAAGAAATTTATAATCTTACAGACTGATGGCCTGATCCTTTTGAGGTGCCTTCTTCACCAAAGCATCTTTCAGGAACTGCTTGGACTTAACCTGGCTTCCAAGGCCAGCCAAGACTCTGTAGGAAAAACACATAACATCTGAGTAAGTCTTGCCACATTAGAGGTGAAGAGCAGTACCAGATTAAACACCACTCCAGCCCACCCTCTCTTTTCCATTCTCATGACTTTTGCAAAGAACTGAGGAGCAAGTTGAGGAGCCTGCCTGAGGTGCAAGAGAGCCTCAGATACTTTGAAGATCTATCAAAAGGATGAGGCAAGATAAGTGAGTCTGTAGAAGCAAATGCAAAAGCTATGGATTCAGCGTCTCTGTTATGGCAGAGATAGTGGGTCCACAAAGGGCAGGTCTGACAATTTGAGATGATACATCTGTCAGTCTTGAGTGCCTTACTTTTGTGTCTCTGAGCTCCTAGCAGTGGCATCCCTCAAAACACAGATTTGGTACCAGGATCCATGGCTACAGGGCTGTCCATCCTTTTCACACTTGCACTGAGGTTCTCTCCCTTCTCTTCTGTGATTCTGTGTGCCAGGTGGAGCTGATCAGCATGGCACCAGACCCACTGACTGAGTGTGCTGTAGTGCCTGGGATCTGCACTGTGGGACTCAAGATGGGAGGGAGATGTCCTGTATTGCATATGTGGGAAGGCCCTAATGCACATAGTGTCTTTTATAGGACCCCTAAAGGGCAGACTGAAACAGTAGCCTTGCCCTGGATGTGGGCCTATGCGGGCCAACCAGTATGTGACCTAGCATTATCTACACATACTCTGAGGTTCCTATTTTATCACAGGATGTAGCCCCTTCAGCGAGGAACCTGGCAGGCCAAAAGCACATTGGATAAAATGGGGCTGCAGAGTATACCAGCCAGCAAGCTGCATTTAGGATGCTCATGAGCATTTTGGCAGCTGCTGCGTGTATGCCGATTATACCAGGACTGGGCGAGAGTATTGGCTCTGGCTTAAGCAAACTCTCTGCCAGCAATAAGAACTGGGCTAAGATTTGTAATGAGCAGCATTCCTTTAAACTTCAATGAGCAAGGCTTTACTGTTACTAAATATTTAAAGTAAGGATCCATGTATTTAGTTTACTTAGGTCCAGCAGCTGATACTGGCTGTGACAAGAGCAGCTCCTGGATGTGCCACACAGTATAAGCAGTGTCCATTTGCTTGACTCCCACCTCAGCTCTCCTAGCCCCTGAGTTAGGATCCAGCTACATTATATCCTCTGCCTCCATGCTCCTACTACCCACTCTGCAAATGGGGCTCTCCTAGGACCTCTCCTAAGTAACAGAAGAGCCAAAGGACAGAGCTGTGCATTCCTAATCCTACTGCCTGACATCATCTGCTTATGTCAGGGTATTTGCTCTGTTGTTCAAAGGAGGCCCCATCCAGACAGTTGCTGATTGTTCTTAAATATCAGTATCCAGGTTCTTACCTGAGCTGCTGAGTAAATCTCTTTCATGAATACCTCCACAAGTGATGGTGTGCATCTGAAGGACTGATTGCTGCTGTCTCCAGCTAGTACTCTCCTACTGTCTTCAAATGGTCCCAGGACCAGTGCATGAGATTTTCTGCACTAAGGTTATGTCAGTCTACTCCATCCATTTCTTTTTACTGTGCTATTGGCTAGGAAGTATTCTCAGACTAAAGTTGAAAACACAGCACTGCACCAGCTACTAAGAAGGAGAAACATAACTGCTACAGTTGAACCCAGGGCAATATCCAACACTGTCATGGAAACCATCTATTGCCTGACATTTTTGAGACTGCAAGCTCAAATATTCCTATTGGAATCTTTTAAATTTTAGATGACTGACAGTATTAAATTTTTCCTTTATGGTCAATGAGTAAATGTGCACCTTTTATGCTGGATTTACACAATGTATTGAGAGGGGCCCAAAACAATGTAAGGCTTTCCTAACTTTTCACCTGATTCACAAAAAGTCTACAAAAGCTTCATGAATTTTCCAAATTGCTTGCAAATTTTAGTGTTCTTCAATTTAACTTGAAACAAAATTGCATTACTATATATTTTTTTATTTGAAGCAAAATGAAATTTGAGTTTTTTTTCATATTGGCATAAATTCAGTTACAATTTTGAAGCATATTGGCATAAATTCGGTTACAATTTTGAAGCAGGAACAAATTTGGTTTGGGGATACTAAGACTGTTTATTCCATATCAAAACCATAAAATCTATCTCAGTGGAAAAGCTAAGAGAAGAAAGAAGAAAGTTTAACTGAACACTGCCTACTATACTTGCCAACTCAGAAAACTCCTATGAAGGCAAGACTTGTGCTTGAATTTTAAGAAAGCTGAGCTCAGTAAACCCACAGAGCCTCATGGGAATGAGATCAATTCACTTCATTTAAGGGAAGTATTCTGAGATCACACAGGCATGAAATAAAGATGTCTTAATCAAAACTACATTGGCGGAGGAAGAAATATAGAGAAACAGTAGGAGCTGATAATGAGCTGAGTGGGGAAGAGAAGGTGGGAATCCTTGATGAGATCTTTTCTGTCTGTTGCAAAGAAATGGACCTGAAATAACAAAAGCTAAAGAGTAAGTATCTGCAAGATACAACTGGGTTTATGATTAAATGAACATCCTGTTTCAGACCTGGAATACATATTCTTATACCTCTCATTGCTACTTCTCAGGTACATAAAAAAAGACGGTGTCATTACATTGTCCATGCTAATGACTTAGACTGGAATTAGTTCCACAGCAGTCACTTTTCCAGTCACCACCACTTCTCACTTCTGACTTCTCACTCCACACACAAAGGCTATAGCAGAAGCCAAAGCCACAATAGGTCTATGACAAATTTACCATCACATTCTACATTTCAGAGACTTGCCAAAGCCAAACTGCTTTTGTTTTATTGTAATAAAAGAGCTGGCCTCTGCTAGTTGATGGAGGCTGGGGCTGAGGCCTTCCATCATAATCCAGAAATTCAGGCTATTTGTCTCTCGTTCAGTGTACTTTAGGCATTTAATTGCAGCGTCTGCATGTGTGTTCCTCTCTGCCTGTTGCAGACAGCTGGTCTGAGTGGTCCGAGTGGTCCGACTGCGACTCATCTGGCTTACAGTTCCGTGTTCGTCAGTGCATCATTTTGTTTCCCGTGGGCAGCCAGTGCACAGGCAACACTACAGAGAGCCGAGCCTGTACTTTGGACTCCAACTTTATACCAGGTGAGATCAGCTTTCTTGCAGGATTAGTGAAATCTTTCAACGTTTCAGAAGCAAGGCATAGTACTGTCCCAGACTGCGCTGTGCAGAGCCAAGAGCTGGAACAGAACTTGCCCTTTGTCAGCTAAAGAATGTTGGTCTTCTGCATAGTGCCAATGTTGCTGGATCTGGTGTTTACATGAAAATCTTCCTCATGGCACCGAGTGCTGTGGAGCTGTCCCTATTGTCACTGCCTGGGACTTGGGTCAGTCCCTGTCACAGCATTCTGCAGATTCCCACTTCCTGCTTGGTAGCAGGGTGTAGCAATGACTACAGACAGCTGGGGAAAACAGCTTGCTTTTTACTTTAAACTAAGTGGTTTTGAGACTTTACAATTATTAGAGAAACATTAATTCAGGCTTTGCAGTTTACATATACAAAAGTCGGTGCTGTAGTAGTTAATCTGGAAATCATTTCACAAAGTCCCTTAAATTAATAACTGCTTAGAAAGGTAAATATTATTAATGTGCCTCAGTTCCTCATCTCCCCCATGACTGCTAAGTAGCTAATGAATAATCACATCATGTATTATTCTATAGCATTTGTCAAAACTCATGACTGTACTCTTTTATTTTTTTTTAAATCACAGCAGTCGTTTAAATCCACACAGCAGTATGGGTGGCCACATTGCATTGCTGTTAACAGTCATCTTTCCACCTGTTTACATTAAGAAAACCTAGAGGTCTATTCACAGAGAAATTTACATTTTAATGTATCATTTGAAATGTAATTATGTTTACTCAGTGCAGCAACCTTTTTTTTCTCCGTGACCATGTGGTACAGTACAGTACACTTTAACAAATCAACAAATTTAAATACTGCTTTTATGGATGGTGCATAATGCTTCAACTTCTGAATACTATCTTTTCCTCCAAAACCAATGTGAAAAATGTAAGTATGAAAGCAAAAACTCCCACATTGTATTTTCCCCTTTTTCTCAGGCTTTTGAAGCAGCTCCGTTAATACATTCTGTCAATACCCTGCTTAATTCAATATAAGCTCTACATCTTGTTTTGGAAAGTAGGCATTTTCAGAATCTGAAATGAGGCACCTCTTCTCTCTCTCTTCTGGTTTGTTTGCCACTCCTCCTCAAATACTCATATCACAGTAGATAAGGTCATGCCCATTACTGTCACCTTAGATAAACTAGCTTGCTTGCTTATAATTGCTTAGCTCACTTTCATTCCTCCAGGTCCTTCAACTCAGAAGTTTCCCCCTTCATCCTTCCCTCTCTCCATCCATTTCTTTTTCTAATTCACCTCCCTCCTTTCCTCAGCTAGTGTGCTGTCATGTCCACCCTCATGTTGCCTCCTGCTTACCTTAGTTTCATTCCTCTGCAGAACTTAGTATATAAAGTGATTCTGGATGAGTGCAAAAGTGGTTCCTACTTGTCACGTCCTCAGTCATTACCAACATTACCTTGCAGAGCTTTATGGTTTTCTGGTACATTTTTTTCCAGCCTTTTGTTTGGATTGTGAATTAACAGTCTCAACTCTACAAAGTATGCTCTCAGCCTTTAACTCCCTCTGACAGTGCTGTTCTGTGAGGTCTGATACTTTCTTATTTTGAAAATACTTAGTATTGATTTACTATTCGAAGAAAGGTAAAAAATTGTGATCCCTTTAATAGTAGTTGAATGTGGATCATCTTTTGTCAGTAGAGAGCCTACTCTGTTAATTCCTCATACAGAAGTGTTGCCTACCTGTGGCCATCATTGCTGCCCCTCTCTGGTCTGCTTTTTAGTTCTGTCAGAGACATCCTTAGATGGATAAACCAGAGCTGCATTCAGTGTTCATGGTGTTTACAGCACATAGATTTGTAAAGTGCCATAATGCTGATACCCTCTGCTATTAACTATTGCTTTCTTGTTAGTACCTAGCATTTGGATTGCCTTTTTGATTGCTCTGAACAATAAGCTGATACTGTCATGGAAAAAGTTTACATAACCTCCCAGTCTCACTCATGAGTAGTAATGGTCAGCTCACCACCCATCATTTTATATGTGAAGCTAGGACTGTTTTCTACTGTACCTATCTCTTTACATCAATCTACATGTGCTTCATTTGTTATTTTATTAGCTAGCTTTGTATGGCCCTTCTGTAGCTCGTCACAGCATGCACTTGTCCATCCGACCCTTAGCTTTGTATCATCATCAAAATTCAAAACTACATTTGCCTCTTGCTTCTCTAGATCTTTGCTGAAAAGCCTAGGTCCCTGCAGAAGTGATAACCTTCCTCCATTGTAAGAACTGGGTACATAGTACTACCTTGTTTTCTATCTTTTCCCTCATCTCACTTCTTGCTTGGAAAGCCTTTGCTGAAGAATCAAAAAGCTTTTTTGAAATCCAGGTAGACTGTGTCCGTTACTCCACCAATATCGACATGATCATTGACACTTTCAAAGAGGTTCAAGAGATTTGTAAGGCAGACTTCCCTTCAAAGAAGCCAGGGTCCTGAAATAAATAGTAGAGAAATTTGATTGCCAACAAATTATACTCAATATTTATACAGAATGTATCCAATGTCAAAATGGTAAGCTAGAGTTAAGTTTTATTAGTTTACAACTGAGGCCCATGATGTTGGCAGTCATCTTTTTTGAAGATTTGTATATTCCCTCTTTTCACATTAGTGCTAGACATGACTTCTAGAAGTAATGAGCTCATTTGATCACAAGATAATTAAACTCTCATTAATTTTACTATTCAGAAAATCAACACTTTCTCAACATGTTCAAACTCCACAAAGAATGTTTTCATCTGCACTTCATCTTTTTAATTCCAGAGACGTTTTGAGGCAAGAATTAAAAATATGTTGCTAGTTTTGCTTGGGAAACTAAGAAACCTGAAGATGTCATGGGACCTTTTTGTTAATTCTACCACCTAATCAAAATCTTTTATACTTTGGATTTGGAGTGAATGTAGTATAATGAATTTTTAAATCCTTACTGTTTTAATCAAACTGGTAGTTCTCTGTAATATTTTTTCTCCCCAGCATAAGTGGTTTATTTATTTTTCTAGAAATATCAGTGGCACGATCCAGCAGCATAGAAGAAAAACGATGTGGCGGTAAGCTTTTCAGCTCCAGATGTGTTTAAAATGGTGAAATACTGATTTCCCATTGTTTGCTTTTGTTTCACCTTTTACCCTCTCTTAGTTTTATTCTAACTTCCAAATGCCTTATTCTCATTATTTACACTTGTACAGAAAGAGAGAAATAGTTACTACAGGATTTCTCATTAAATATCCATCTCCATTGCTGACCTTTGAGACAAGAATGTGTATTACTGGATGTTTGTATTTTCTTCCTTTTCAGTATGGCAGTTACCCTTGTCTCAAAAAGAAACTCCTATTATTTTCTAGTTATCAGTAGGTCAAAATTACTCCACCTTTTTCAGAATAATATTTCACAAACCTCTTTGGGACTCCAAATAAATAGCAGAAAGCCAGCCTGCTAACTCATTTAATAGCTCAGACTGTATCTGGGAATTGTTTTCAGCTTTGCTGCCAGAGACAAAACTAAAAAGTAAAAAAAATAAATTTCTATTCCAGAGAGTTCTGATACCAGCAAAACAAATCTTTAAAGAGAGAACTGTTTTTAAAAAAAAAAAAACAAAAAGAAACAAAAAAAAAACCCACAAAAAAGAAAAAACAAATAATAGTAAGGTGAAGAAAAAGGAAAAATGACTGGGTTTTTTGTGCTGAGCTATCACGCTTAGTCTGTGTCGTCATGGTAATAGCTCTGGCTGGTTCTAGTATTCTTCCATGCACAGATAAACTGCATTTTTAACCTAATAAGGGACAATGAAAAGACAGGGGTTATACAAGGGTACTAGTGTGCATGGTAACTTGTTATGGGAGCAAGAATAATCTGATTTGATTTCTTTTCTTTAGCAGTGGTACTCTGAAAACCTTTTGCCAAGTTCTGCAACAGTGGGAAAATCTCATAAAAGTATAGAAGGATATTTCAGTGATAATTTATGTATGGAGGCAGTTAACATAGTCACCTAAATATTTGTGTTTCTAAATACACGGTAGGCATGCAAAGGTCCTACCTTGGGCATTACAAAATGGGACCCATGTGCTGGCCTGTTTTTTTGTACTGCAGCGAAAAGTGTCTAGCAGATGTTTTTCAGACTACTGCCATTCTTTCAGTTTAAAATCTTTCATTTGTGCATTTAGGCAACCACAAACAAATTTTCAGTAATGTTAAGATGAAATTTCCAACATGAGCTTTTTAATAATACCTCTTTCCTAATAAAAAAAAACACAGCTCCAGTTTGAAATAACAATGAAAAGCAGTTCAATTTGTTCATTTTGAGCTTATCCTACTGGTGCAACATCTGACCTATTATCTCTGTCCAGTAACATCAGGGGATGATTGTGCTTTAGATTCCCTTTTGCAGTTTCATGCAGCAATGAGCTTCCTCTCAGCTTTAATCCTTGCATATTTGAAGAGGGTTTCACATCGTCTGATCCTGTAACATCTTTTTGAAGGGCAGAGCAGACAGGAGACTGATGGGTTCTGAGTTGTTGTCTTTGCACTCTCTGGCTGCAATGGTTAAAAGCACTCTGAGCTTTAAAGACCCAATCTCTCTGCTGCACCCCCCACTCCACCTTCCCATTTTCCCCTTAAAATCACTACCATTTCTTCCTTATCCTCTCCCTTACATTTAGAAAAATATTCTGAAAGCTGGAGAAGGAAGAAAGTTGCCCACATATCAAAGATACAGAAAGAGAGAGACCTAGCAAGAATAAAAGCAGGGATGTTAAAAATGTGTGCCACTGCTTCTGGGACATGTACCAAATAAAGGGGATATGGAAAACATTTTAAGGAAAGCAGGATTGTGATTCAAAGATACGAGGATTTTGTTAGTTCTGCCACAAGTCCTTAAGTGTAAGAGAAAGAACTAGAACAGGAGAGGAAGTAATATTGTAGTTCACTGGAAAGAAGCTATGTGTGTACATTATATACATAATTTATGTATAATAAGGTGTTATACGGTCCAAAGAAACATTTTGCTGAACTATTCAAATGTTCAAAATGCTATTCATTCATCTGTTATTTGGGTTCTGAACTTGTTTAAGCATCTTTCAAGAATCTCAGTCTTAATACTTACAGAGATGTATGGGCATCTAAGATTCTTACAATGATCCTTTCAAGGAAGTGCAATGCATTTGCTACTGTCGGGATAAACCATTGCACTTGTGATGTTTCTGGGAAACACATGAAATTTCCCTTACCCTTATTTGAATTAAGCACTTGCCTACACTTTTGCCCAATCTTAAGCTTTTATTGCTACTTGCTTAAAAATAAGACTGTCTTCTGGTCTCCACTCTGCAGAGTTCAATATGTTTCACATGATCGCAGTGGGATTAAGTAGCTCAATACTTGGTTGCCTTCTTACCCTGCTTGTTTACACTTATTGCCAACGGTATCAACAACAGTCCCACGATGCAACTGTCATCCATCCGGTGTCACCAGCTCCTTTAAATACCAGCATTACCAACCATATCAACAAACTGGACAAATATGATTCTGTAGAAGCCATCAAGGTGAGAAGTGGGTTGAGAGCTCTATAGTGCACAAGGTGTATTGTCCTAGACGACAGTTCTGCTGTATCAAAAGAATTCTACTTGCTAGTTTTCTGCAGTGGCATTTGGACTCAAATTATGCTGATTGTTAATAGCAAAAATAGATTTCACTTGAGGTATTGTAATTACAGATCTTTTCCTTTGTCAATCCCTGTTACACAGGAAGTTTGATTTTGTGTGCATGTGTAATTTATATGGTAGCAGCCTTTCCTGGAAAAAAACAGACCACTCAAGTTTTGTTTTGTAGAAGTTTTTTAACCTAACTGTGATCCCTAGTGGCTTGTTTAAGAAATAAATAGGGCCATTAACAATCATCATGGCTTATATTGAAGGTAATCCTTCGGCTCCAGTGCTATGGTTCATCTTCCTGCACTGTGTCTTTACACAGGAGATGTATCTGGTCAATATATTCTCTGGGTCAGATTTTCAGCTACTGTTCATACCCAAAATATTTTGTAAATGAATGGTACAGATTTACATTAGCTGAGTCTGTCATGACATCTGTATCATATGATCATTGTTCCCAAAGAGTTTTGGGGTTTTTTTGACCTTTTAGAATAGCTTTTCAGGTACACTGAATTAAGAAAGAATGAGCATTCTGAAAATACTTAGTTCTGTATCTTCAAATTACACAGTTTATTCATGCAGGGTTTTGTAAAAGAGGATTTTTCTTAAATCCTACCTGGATAATCCAGTTTTAAATTTCTGCATTTTTCTTTCTAATTAAAGACATTTTTAAGAATTACATTAAAAATGACAAGAGAAGTCTAGATTTTGTAATCAGTAGTGGAATAGGTAGCTAATTCAAAGGCTTTCCAAATTGCACTAATCATCTCTCTGGATAGCTACACAAACAAAAATAACCTTTGACAATTCATATTCTAAATACCCACATCACTTTTTAAAAAGCCAGATTTACCCTTTTAAGACTTTCAGACATTTCTCCTACACATTGCATTTGAAAATCAAGGAATTAATGCAGTAAAAAAAAAAAAATTCTTGTTCAGTAAAAAGATAATGAGTGAATTATTCTAATAGGAAAAACTGGATATGTATGATTAAAACTACTTTAATTGTAAAATTAGTTTGATAGTACTGGGGGCAAGTGCCTGGATTTACTTTATTGAGTAGCCTTGCTTTTTGTAGGAACATTATGATGCAAGAAGATACATGCAAAAGCAAGTTTTTGTAAATGTGCAGGTACTTCTCAATGCATTTTGGACTGATTTATTATACACAGATATTTGCCACAAAAATTGCCTTGGTGAAAGGGCACTTAGTAGCTATGTTTCCTCTGTCCTTCCCATTTTCTTATCTTTTTTTTTTTCCCCCCCCAGGCATTTAACAAAAACAACCTGATTCTGGAGGAGAGAAACAAATACTTCAATCCACATCTCACTGCAAAGACTTATTCTAATACCTATTTTACAGATTTCAATAATTATGATGAGTACTAATGGGCTTGTGTATTTTCTGGCCTTCTGTAACTCCCCAGTCCCCAAGGCCTGTGCTACTTGACTGCTCATGTGATTGAGGCTTCAGAGATGAAGTTCAGAGACATTTCAAGCACGATCCAAGCCATCAATGTCCCATTGCTGCCAAAAGCTCAGAACACCTGCTTGTGACCTGATGTTTTCTTTGCAGAGTGCAAGGCTGGCCTTCAGTGTCGGGTGCAGCTATAGATCCCTCGATGTCGCTGGACCACTCATGAGGATTTCATTGCTTCACTCAGTTTCATTAACTTCCAGTCAGGTTGCTCTAACAAGTGACTAAGTAATTCCAGAGCTTTAAAGGAACCCACAATGTTACCCCTTAAATCTGGGCCAGGAGTACAAATCTAATTTTTTTTTAAGCATTGTTTTTTATTTCCATGAGGTTTGAAAAGGGAGCTCTGCTGTTAGCCATGGGAGCCCTCTGTGCAGTCTCCTGAAGCTCACACCACCAGAAACAGCTCACAGGGTGCTGGGAACAATGGCAAGAAGAAATGTGGTGGTTTAGCAATGCTCTGCAGCTCTGGGCTCTGTAAGGCTGATCTTACTGGCCTGTAAATCACTCCAGCTGCAGTTCAGAGTGCAGACACAAAGGCCGTACTGAGGGACATACACTTGTAATTAACCCAGAAGGCTACAGGGTTAGTGGTTTCCAGTTGCGAGCCAAGCCCAGTCACATAAAGCATTCACCTAGTTCAGTTTAATTTTTGGGAGAGTCTGGAAGGGCATGTCCCACAGGGGGGCCAAGGGAGGAGGACAGATATGAAAGGCACACTGGAAGGTTTTTCTGTGTGTCATTAGTAAACAGCCTTGCTACAGCATGCAGGTTTGCAGAAGTCATGGCATCTCCCAGGCTTCCTCTCCTTGGTGTGTGCGAATGGGAACCCATTCCTCACTGTTGTAGCACTTGCCATCAGGCTGGTCATGGAAAGATACGACTGCACCATGTTGTGTGCCGTCTCAGGCTCTCGGGGGTACATAGGCATAATCATAGATCTGCTTTTCTTTTTCTGCTTTCACTTTATATGCACATGTCTGACAAGCAAAGCTGGCTCAGAAAACGCAGATGTATTTGCAAAGCATCACATCTTGCTGCCATGTCTGACCCACTCTAGTCGGCCCCTAGAGGAACATTCTTATGATGTTTTAAGTGATTATGTTGTTGGACTTCATTGATGTAAATATTTAAAATACTGTTTGAGTTTTAAGTTATCAGTTTTAATTCCTTTTTTAGTGGCAGGTGAGGAAACACAAAGAATTTTTATACCGTTTTTCTTTGTTCTGTCTGTCTTCACCCACATTCATGACATTGTTATTTTTGTATCTGAAATTCCAGGTGTATAACTAAACAGAAAAGGGCAGGGATTTGGGCCAGATTTTCCAGAGTACTTAGTAGTAAGGCAGTATTTGCTATTCTCAGAAGCTTGTGAAAGAAATTAAAAATTAATATTAAGGAGTAAAGAATTGGGCTTTCAGGTTTTTGAGCATGCTATATGCTGAGATCATCACACCAGAATACCAGGAAGGTATGCAAGGAGAAACAGAGTGGAAATGCTTCCATTCTCCATTTAGAGTCCTTGATCATTAGGTTACACTATGATAGGCAAATAGAGAAAAAAATGTACAGATTATAAGGATTCACACAAAAAAAAAAAAAAAAGGCAAAAAGTACTAAGAAACATTGATCATGTGAGACTGTATTTGAGCACCATCTTGGTGGTCCAGCCACTCACATAGCAAGGGTAAACACCATCTCTAATCATAGCAGTGAGTAACATTTTTGAATGGGGATAGAGCTGAATGTAGCACTATGCTTGCTATCTCTGTTCTGCAGTAAAATGAAAAAATGCAAAGCAAGTGGTCTTTGAAAAGCCATGCAGCAAAATGAATGCGCATTTAGCATCTATGAAAATAATTAAGATCAGCTGCACATTTTTTCCAGCTGAATAGTTCTCCCCCTCAGTCAAAAGAAAGCACCCCACCCTCACACCAGTTCATCTCCAGCAAGTATAATAATACTGGTTCTGTATAATTTGTGATTTTTTTTTTTTACTGTGTATTGGATTTGGTTTTCCAGGAAGAAATTAGCTGGTTGCCCTGGGTAAGAGGAAATTTTCTCTGCAAGAAAATTCAGTGAAACACATAGAGGGAGGAAAAGCTCTCCAAATCATAACCAGTCCAGTATCTGAATCACTCTGTTCATGCCAAAAGATAAAATTTTACATTTAGTAAGATAAAGAAAATAAAATCTTTATTGCTGCCACTGCCATGCACATACACAAATATGCACGACACTGTTCCTCTCTGCCCTGTATTAAGAGCACATTAGTGTGGCTTATGGATTTTATATTTAGAGTATTAGTTATGAGACCAATATCTTAAAAGTATTTGAACTATGTATTTTTATTTTAACCTTTTTTAATGCAAATTATCTGAAATTAGCTTTTTTTTTTTAACTCTTCAGTAGTTTGAAGCACACCTATCTTTACAGTGATCTATTTTCCATTCTTTCCATGGATAGATACATAGGTTAGATTTGTGTTATATATGTGGTAATAATACCCTAGGTAAAGTCTGCATGATCATAGGTAGAAGTGCTTTTAGCAGATGCTCAGTCTGCTCATACTTCATCTCCCCAAGGAGTATTTCAGGTGTTCCAGACCTTTGAGCAACTCCCATACGATGCCACTTGAACACCACACCAAATTGTCAGAAAAGTGTTTCTTTAAAACTTTTTTTTTTGTCATTTAGCTTCTTAAATTACATTCCTCTAAATCGCAGGACCACAGATGCACTGCCTATATCAGTATTTTCACCTCCTGAATTCTACACAGCTGCCCAGGTAGTTTAATACAGCCTTTCGTAAGACTTTTTTTTTTTTTTTTTAAATAGGCTACACACATTTTGGTGAAAAGCAGATTTCCTCATGAAAGCTCTTACATTTCTTTTGCCAAAAATGTAATGAGTAAGCATTTTCCTGCAAATGTTTAAGCCGAAAGAGCTCTCAAATGTGCACAAGGGAAAAATTTGGTTCTTACAGCACTGTTCTCTTTTTTGGAAAGGGAGAGTCAACTCCCTTGCCCATTAAATGCCATGCTTAAATACCCCTTATCTTTTTGTTTGGATAAAGATATCTTTTTTGGATAAGTAATTGTATTACTTCTGATGCCAATAGTTAATATTACTAAACCACTTTGTACTGATTTCATAAATTTTAAAATGTTTCTCTTATTTTGAATGCAAACATTTTGGCAGATAGATTGAGATTCTCTGTGTGAATCTGTTTCTTTGTAACCCTGCTACATGCAGTGAGAAGGAAGCAGGATTGCCAGCCAGATCCCTTACACTATATACTTTCACTGGATAAGTCAAAGCAGAATTGTGTTTGAGTACACATTTTGGGCCTATTTTTGTGTCTGATACACAGCGTACATTCCTTGGTTTCTTAGAAAATGGACTCCTGTGCTTGCAGATTTATCTTGTACTTTGATTTGAGTCTAATGACCTTTATGGTCATTTAAAGTTACTTTACTTGGAAGCTTTTCCAGCCATTTGCAGTCACCTGCTGTTGGAGCAGTGTCATTGGGCTAAAGCTAATCAAGAGATTTTTGACTAGGATTAGGATTTCCTTTAAGGAGTGGGAGAAAGAATGGGGCTTAAATGGCTCTGATTTCCAGGCTATTAAGCAGTACTGATTAAAGTCTCAGATGGGTATAGGATACTGTGGGTTTAGTTAGCTTGACCAGAGCTCCACAGTAACCTCTAGAAAAATACCACGTCAATGTACAAATCAAGAGCTACCAAAGCACTTATGTTAAGTGAAGAATGTTCTCAGAACATCAGACCATATGGCTGTTGAAACCAGAAAAGAGAGTAAGAGGTCCCAGATGCAACAAAAATGTTAATAGGAATAAATGCTTCAATATTTTTTCCCTCAGAATTGTGGAACAAATATAATCATTTCTATAAATGTGGGACCAGTTTTATTAAAATCAGCACAACATAACCACATTCCTAAAGTTAATTGTATGCATAATGGCTTTGCTGTATGAGATCAATTCTGTAAACAGTTTGGTCCAAGCTTATCTTGCTCTGCTTGAGGCATCTGACCAGCTTCTGACTGTAGCTGCCATCAGCACCCTTTATGTCTCATCTGGGAGAACACGCTTAGATGGGCAGAGTTACATTCTAGTGAGGACTTGTGTCTCTTGCTCAAAACTATAGTGAGCCTGGAGAGACACACTTCAAATACTCAGTCATTTGGATGCCTAGATTTAGATTGGCAAAAGCTAGGCTCTTGAGTATGATTTTACTTGTCACGTAAGTAAGCACACCAAGTTCAGTGGTATGGGTGTAACAAGTTACTTATTTTAATGTGTTTACAGGATTGAGCCCAAAATATATTGCTTCTGCACAAATCCATGCACAGTACAAGATGACTTCAATAGTAAGAAAACAGATTCATTTAAAATTGTTCACAAGCAGATCCGCATCTTGATATCAGGGAATAGATATGTGTTCATTGTGTGGGGTATTTGAATTCATTCCTTTCTTTGCTAAATAAATGAATGATAAAACAAGATACTGCTTGACTTCATTTAAAAGCCATTCTTCCAAATAAAGAAGGGTTCTGGGATCTGTGAATGTTTTCCCTTTCTTTTTCTCTTCTCCACAAAAACAAATCTGTGTGCAGCTGAAATGGCCTTTCTGTGTAACTAAATGAAATGCTTTGCATTGTGTTGCCATGCGACAACATTTTCTAACTGGGATGGTACAAAGAGGGAAATGCACTAACCTGGGAGGTTTGGCAAAGATTTCAACCAAAGCACTAGCAAGGACAAGCAGAAGTGGAAACAAAAACATACAAGAATGTGACTAAAGGGTTGGCAAACTTGTCCATAAACTTTCACAGAAACTTAGAGGGTTTTTGGGAACTGCCAAGGGCGAGGCCATTGAGACTGTAACCT